CCCCAAAACCCCAAAACCCCAAAACCCCTAAAAAGAGCTATAATATGGAAATGTCTATTTTTTGTATTATAATTCAATATTTTTGGCCTAATTTCTACCGCTATGGGCTGGGCGCTGCAGAAAAAGGCTCATAACGATATTAGATATACCGATGTACCATACCTGAAGGTAAAGAAATGGTGGATAGGGATGACCTTGGTACTTCTGGCCCAACCTCTTTACTTAGGTGCAATAACTATGACTAAGATTTCAATCTTAGGTGTTCTTGGCCCAATCGGAATCCTTGTTAGTATTGTTCTAGCCAGAGTGTTCATGAAGGAAGAAATTCGGATTATTGAGTATATTGAGATTATATTGTTTGTACCAGGGTCTATTATTACGCTTTGATCCTAAACATTAGAAGATCACAAGTACAACAAAGAAGAATTTAACAATTTGTTTTACTCCAGAATATCCTTAACTTATTTATTTTTTAATTTGTTCTTTTTGACTGTCCTAATGTCGATCTGTCGGAAAATTTTGATACTCAATCCAGGGGATGCAGAAGTTCCCTATACAGAACAAATAGATGAGGTTGTTCAGAGACTTCCTACTGGGATTCCCAATCCTCAGTGAAAGGATAGCTTCAAGACGAGTAATACTGCTAGCTGAAATCTCTACAATTTTTTCTGTTGATAAAGTAACAACACGGCTCTTATTCACAGACTTAGGAGAAGATAATACTTCAAAGAAAATTCTTTGCACATCCAAGGCTGAGGTTTCTCCCATTGATAGTTTATCCATATTTCTGATCCTTCGTATCTGGGTTATCTATCACATTTGCTAGGGTGTTGGCTGGGTTTGTATCAACAGCTCCTCCAGAAGGACACGGTTCAAATTTCGATACACTCGAGCCGTGGCTGTACATATAATGTGCCCCTGTAGGAGCTACTTTTTCATATTATCTTGTAAACGAAGCCCTGAAGCATTATGCCAAGATCTATGTAGTCCCTCTGTTTAAGATCAGCGACCTTATGCATCATATTCTAAGTGGGGCTATCTTTCTTCAGGAATTCCACGATTAAAGCTATTTTTAAATTGTAGTAAGGAAAAATTATTTCAGTGTGATTTTAAACAATATTTTTATGAAATATATGGTGAAAGGGACTGCCAATGACGAGAAGACCCTTAAGCCAGTACACTCACAAAGAATTATGCATGTTTATGATAGGTGTTGGGATCTGAGCAACAGGAGTAGCTTTACTCCTACTGAGTAATGACAAGAATGAGAGTGAAAAACTACTTAAGAACGGCACTGCACCTGCTAAAAATGGCGTTATAGTAATAGAATATCCTTGCAACCTGAATTCTGCCATAATTCTCCCTACTTTAGCCCAAGTTTTTCTATACGAGTCTCTTCTCTTCTAAAGTAGAGCTTAGGAGGGATTTTTGCACAAATTAAGACGTAAATTTTCAATTGGTTTTATATTGAGGGGTTTTGGGGTTTTGGGGTTTTGGGGTTTTGGGG